TTAAATAATAATCTTGTAGTTGAATAATTTAATGTGTTTCACATTTTGTAAATATTTAATAAATAATGAAAAATGAAAAAAAATACTGTGTAATACTTTTGCCCTTTCCTGTCCATCAATCCACCAATCAATATCAAAGATTTAAAACTAAATGAACAAGACTTATCTTATGTAAAAATCAAAGGCATCTCTCAACAATATAGAATTAAACACTTAACAAAACACCAATGAATAGGCATTCAAGATCAAAGGTTGCCTGGAAACGTAAGTGATTGACACAAATTAACACTAGATGTTCACAACTAAGATCAAAGAATAACACAATGAGACAATAATATACTAGTAACATGTGTGACCATTTATGTCACTTCTGTGAATATAGTTATGAGAAACAAGTTAGTAAGTCTTCCGTATTCTGCAAAAGTATTTCCTAAACGTGTTTTTTTCACTATGGGGGTTTTTCCTAGGGTTTTTTTTCCTGAGGTTTTTTTTCCTACACTCGAAAGTTCATAGTGCATTTCATCAATTAATAAATAAATGTGAAAATTGTAATTTTCAACACAAATAATAGTCTCGCTAGCTTAATTGATTTTGTCATCTGATGTAAGACAGTTCTCAGTCATACAAATTGATAGCTTTTGAGAGAGAAAAAACATCTGCATGATAATAAAATGACCATTCTCCTAGTTTTCTTGCAATGAAAACATGCATACTAATTAGCTATACATCAGACATCATGTGACAGATACCAATGGTCAAACATACTGCACAATGTCTGTAGTAGGCCATTGATATAGAAGTGAAATTGTTGGCATCACAAATGACTTATAGTTCACTTACATCTTCTGTTGACATGAGTACATTTTCTCCTAAAGACATTGCAATTGCCCTCAACATTTGATCCTCTTCAGATAAACCAATCTCTGAACCAAGGTCCTATTTTGTTCAAAAGTAAAATGTGTTAAACTTTTCAAAATATGCAATACCACTTACAACTTGCTGTATTGGTCCAATGGAAGAACAAAGCAGTGTTTGTATTCTAAAACCTCAATTTCAAGTCCTGTAACTTACAACTCTTCTTAAAACCCATCTTGTGCCTTTCGACTAATCAGAATGTTTCATATACAGGAAATGTCTGACTTGTTTTCTCATATCAAATCTCTTTGTTCTCATAAATTGTTTCAAGTAATTTATACGTATTTGTTCTCATAATTTGTTCTAGGACTTTTATATAGCTCATATGACATCAAAGATGATGAAACACTGACCAAGTTTTACTGTGCTAGGAAAAAAAATAACAATGATTGGGTTCGTACACGAAGCTCACACAACAGGCAATGTGACAGACATTTATATCTCGGGTCAGACTTTATATCCAGGAAGAATACTTAATACGAATGAACTTGTTGTTATACACAAAATATAGGATTTGAATTTCACAGTAGCAGCTATTCACATTAACCTACCGGTGCACCTGGTAATGGTGGTGGGTGTACAAGAATCCATTCCGTAGCTTGCTCTATAGAAGAAGTATGTCGAAGTGCTTCTAGGGCATGCTCTCTTGAAAATCCCATGTCCATTAACTGAAAGTATCAAAAATAGACCGTACTGTCAACTAAAAACACAAGTTTAGGTAGAGCTTATAGACACTAAGAAAGTCTCACAGATCACCAAGATTCCTGACAATAACGTATAGATTATTTGTCAAGAATCAAAAAAACAAAAATTCTATTTGGTGTATACTGAATCATTAAAATATTACTTATTTTGATCACAGAAAAAAACTTAGAGCAAATACACTCAGCTGTTTTATGCTAATAAGATAATAGTAAAATTCGAAATACTAGTACTTAAAAAAATTCTGCCTATGTTGACACGCGCACATACATTGGTAAAACGATTACATAGTGACTGCACTTTAGTGAATAGTTTATGAGTACACCTTACCTGCTGTAAATATTGTGGGTTGGGCTCAGGTTCCAAGGTACGACCAAGTATACCTATAGCAGCAGCAACTGCACTACTTGGACCACTTCTAGCAGCAGCAGTAGCACTAGTAGCCATAGTGGAAGCTGAGCTAGTTTCACTAACACCTGTGATGCACTAGCACTGGCACTTTTTTCTTTCTCTTTCTCCTTCTCTCTCTCTTTTTCAAGTCTCCATCGTATGACTGATTCTCCACGTAGAATATGGCAGAGTATGGCCAGCATGCTCTCAGACATTCTCCCTCCATACACTTTGAGGGGCTTCCTATCCCATAGGTTCATTACTGCATGGAAAGCAGCCTGCAAAAAAAAAAACACAGTAACAGTTAAATTCAACAAAGACATGTGCAGTCAACTTCACCAATGGGCAACTCAGCCAAGTGCCACCAGGCTGGGTGCTAATTAATTTTTACAGTGAGAACATTGAGATTGCTCTGAATGTTGTAAGATCACAAAATATTGAGGATTATCAGCAGACTTTTGTCTATAGTCTAGAAGTAATTACATTATACCTGTAAACTATTGGTAAAGTCTCTCGGTAATCGACAATATTTAGAAACACAGTAGATTAAATCAGTTAATTTTCATTGTAAACTTGCAACAGAAAAAATGGTAGACATGTAATAAGAATTTGTTTAGCAAAGTACTGCTAAGACTCGTAGAGAATACTGTATTCACCTTGTGTGTATGTATGAGAAACTGCACAGGGCTGAATGGCACAAATCCTGGTTGACTGGCCTTAACAGGTAATGTGTGTGGTGATTCTAGTATCGTCTTGGTGTTCACCATCTTCTCAACCAACATTAACCAGGCATCAAGAAATTCACCAGTTCCATCTAGACAAAGAAAGATATACATTTAAACATTCATGCACCCAAGACATGTGCAGTCATGTTAAATCCACAACACAACATGAAGAAATTACCTACCTGGTATATCAGAACCATCTTTGTTTGGTGCATTTCCACCATGAAATAACGCCCAGTTGAATGTTCTGCAATAGAAATGCAGTGTAAGTAACTAATAGATACGTTAGAATTCATAGTAAAAATAACGAATATATTAGTGTTGTCATTAGTGATATAAGTGATCTGAAAGAAGAAGACAATACTCACTCAAAGAGTGCTGTATGACCACCAGATGACATAAACTTCTGTAGCATCAGATGATAGGGATATTTCTTTTCATCAAATAACATAGGTGATGTGAAACCAACAGAACAAATAAAGAATGTCAACCTGCAATGCAAAAATCATAAACAATTTGAGCACTGCATTAACTCTTATCAATG